TTTTTTTCCACTTCTTTAAACCGTTTTTTTTTTTTACTATAACTAATGATTTTGTCGATTTATTGTAATTGAGTCAAGAAATTTATGAATGAGCCTTAAAAAATACACAAATAAATGCTGTCGGTGGTTCTGTTTGATTTTCCAGAAATGATTGCAAAAGAAGCAAAAAAAAAAAAAAGAAAATTTAAAACATTTAGGTGAAATAAACTGTTACTTCGTTCCATAAGAAACGGGGGTGGGAAAAAAAAGAAGGAAAAGTAGGGGAAGGAAAAAAGCCTGTAATGAATAGTAAGTGTCTAATTTATAGCTTCAAAATCAACAGAAGGGAGAAAGACGAAAAAAAAGATAGAAAAAGTATTGTTAAATGCTGTAAAACCAGTAGTTAAAGTTTAAGAATTTTAGTGAAAAGGAAAAAAAATAAAACCTTCTTTCTATGGAAAAAACTGAAAGTATAGAGGGGTAAAAACAATGGTATTTGTTGATGCTGCGGTCACGTAGCTGCTGATGATGGGGGTAGAAAACTTATCAAAACAAAAACAGTAAGAACTTTCTTCTTGCTTCATCTGAGGAATAAAGTTGGTCAGCTACCGCAGAAGTTATATCCAAAATCTTTTTTGTCGTTTCCTCTGCTAGTCTCGCCACCGCAGCATCTCATAAACTTCGTGAGACATCTGTGTCCTGTTGCCATCCTCTATCATCTGCACTTCGTAACTGTTTCGACCAATAAATAAGCAAAGTTGAAGCAAAGAATGGCTATTGAGTGTTTTATATAATTTTTTGAAAGCTGATTTTTTCAAATTACATTTAACAAAAATTTAAAAATTAGAAAAAATGTTTTTTTTTTCTGTTTTTGCTTTGTCATTTGTTCCTTTTTTTGCTACTGATCAAATCGAAACGATTTTATGAATAATTTGATGAAAACCACTAACAAACTTTTTTTTCTTGCTCTTCTTATACTGTTTTTGTTTCAGGTTTTTTTAATTTTTCAAATTTTTTCACCACTGTTCTCTTGTCACTTTCTGTTGTTTAATGCAAAAAAAAAAAAAAAAAAATTGTTAAAGCAGTTGCCTAAACACACATCAACTAAGTTTTTACTGTATCTTTCACTTATCTTCCTTTAAAAGAAGAAAAAAAGAATTCTATTTTTTTTATTTGACGATTTTTGTAATGGTAATCTTATCATCAGATAAAAAAAAATTTTTTTTTTTCAGAAGAAAATGGAATATAACAGTCAGAATAAGAAAAAAAAGACAGAACAAGCAAAAACTTATGAAAGAATTTTTTCTCTCCTATTTTTTTCGTCTTTCTTTTTCTGTTCTAATTTTTTTCTGGTTGCTTCAACTTTGTGATAAGATAACGACAGTTATTTGTCTTACAAACTGTACTGCTGCCAACGTCGTCGTTGTCGTCCGTCGGTCTGCCGTCAGTTGGTTGGTGGTCGGTTGTCATCTGTCATCGTCGCTGTCATCATCATCAGAAACACTGAACATACTGTGCGGGAAAAAAGAAGTGAAAACAAAAATAAAATAGAGATCGAGTAAGTAAATGACGATTAAAAAGATGAAAAAAAAAGAAAAAGATAAGAAAAATTTGTAAAATTTTTAGCTAAAATTTATTGTGCTCATCACATTTTTGATGTATCTGATTACAAACTTGTAAGTTGAATCAAAAACTTTTGGAAATTAGCAAGTTTTTTTTTCCTATTGGATGCTTCAAATACCGTCTGCAAAACCAAATTCTGCCCTGTCTTTGCACTCTTTTCTTGGTCACAGTAATACAAAAAAAAAAAAGTGAAATTGACACATAAAAAAGCAAAAAGACAAAGTTGAAAAAGAAGAAGAAGTAGAAGAAGAAGAAAACAAGACGCAGATGAGGAAAAGTAAAAGACTGAAAAAAAAAGCAAACAAGCAAAAATTTTGCAAGCATATACATCATTTACCGTCTGATAATGATAAGTGTAGTTGGAGTAAAAACTACCTGACTTGTTAATTGACTGGAAGTGTAGTTGGAGTAAAAACTACCTGACTTGTTAATTGACTGGTCTGTTAGAGGTGTTTTTAAAAAAAAAAAAAGAAAAAAATCTGAAACAACATTCAATTTAATGTGTTTCAAAAAAATGAGGTCTAAAGAGGAGGAAGGGTAATAGGAATTGAGGAAAAAGTTAAGTACAAAGTCAGCATAAGAGGAACAGTAGGAAAACGACGGACAGTTGGATGAAGCGGTGAAAAGGGGAAGAAGTGGAAAAAACTGAAAAAGCATTTGTGGACAACAAGTTGCTTAAAGTTGCACATTATTTTACTGTTGTTGTTGTTGTTGTTGAATGTCAATTGAAAAACAAGTTTCATTCATTCTTCAGAGACTCATTTTCAACTTAAAGCTTTTAACCTTTTCATATCAATTGTATATATGTTTTATGCGTGTGTGCGTGTGTGCATGTGCTTTTTTTTTTCTTTGATTATGAAGAACCAATTTGTTGAAGAAATAAGAAAAAAAGCAATTATTTTTTTTACCCACTTTTTTCAGTACTATAGACTAAAATAGAACACAAAAGCGAAGGTGTGAAAGGGAAAGTTGGTTGATACGGAAAGGGGAAGTGGAAGAAGAGAAAAGAAAAAAAAAAAGTTGGAAAAGTGTAGTTTTGAAGTACCATCTCAAAAAAGAAACAGTTAAAATGAAAAAAAAAATTATTTTATAAAATTTGAGAAAAAAATTAGTGTAAAATAAACAGTTGTCGGTTTTTTTTTTACATTTCTTTAATAAAACATAAAAGGTTTTTTCGTTTAGTATCTTTGGGTTGTCTTTCTTTTTTTTTTTTTTACTATCCATCTAATTTGTTTTTTGGTTAAAGCAATTTTGCTCCTGTTGTTGTTGATTCTGTTGCTTTTGTTATTTTTAGAGTTATTTCTTTTCTTTTTTTTTCTGAAAAACTAATTAATAACAATCGGCAAAAGTATCAGTATTGAAAGGTAAAACATAATTTGCAAGAAGAAAAAACTTTTTTTGGAAGAAATGAGAAGAAACATAATTTTTTTCCCCTGGTATAAACTTTCTTTGTTTTTCGTTTACTCAAAAATCTTTGTTTTCTTTTTTCTTTTTTTTTTTTCATCTCCTTCTTTGTTTTTGTTTTCCTTGTTTAACGAACTGTTCAAGATGAAGTTACAACATCAGTGACTATAATCAGCAAAAGAGTAGCCGGAGCATCAGCATCGGCGACAACAACAACAGTGACAGTAAAAACCAGAACCATCAACACGATGAGGGAAAAAAGAAGACTGAAAAGATGAAGAAGAAGAAGAAGAAAAAGAGGAAGACAAGAAAAAAAAGTTCTTTGAAGGCAACAACAACAAGAACAACAACGACAACAAGATAGTAATAAAAAAAAAAGAAAACCTGAGTCTGTAAAGACAACAAACAGTTAATGGTTTTGAAGCGTGCTTTTTCCGTTGCCTTTACCGGAGTAGGGAGGAGGGGAGGGGAAGGAGGGGACATTGTTTTTTCTGTATACATTTTTGTTGTTTCTAAACGACGTGACATCTTTTATTATAAGACAGCCTTGAAATTTTCAATGACAGCCGTTTTTTATCGCCCTTCTGATTTTTTGCGAACAACTTATCGAACGAAGAAGTTTGATTTCGTTGGAAACGAGTTTCAATGTAATATAAGAAGCGTCAGAATTCTGCAAAGGCATAAGTAGTTGTTCCTTATTTATTGGTGTAGTGGTCGGTTACTTCCAGGTCAGAGCAGCACCAACAGCACTACCAGCAACACCAGCACCACCACCAGGACCAACACCAGCAGTAGCAGTATTATCATCTTCACCAGCACTACTACTACCAATATTATCATAGTCATCGTCTTCATTATCTTCAAAAGCCAAGTATCCAGCAATAGAATTTGTTATTCCACAGTTAAGATTATCAGAAGAAATAGTTTATCATCAAACGGTGTTGGGGCGACAGTATTCTTTTCAACGACAAGGAACAGCTACGATTAACTGCAGCAGCAACTCTAAGGCCCAGCTGCTAAATGTCATCTTGAATGGCATAAATTTCAACAACACTGTTGAGCTAAATTTTGCTACTATTATTTTTTTTTTAATTATGCTTTCTTTAAAAGTGTTTAAATTGAATGCATTTTATTTTCTACTCTTCTTTATTTTTTTCTTATTATAATTTCAAATTTTTAAAAGCTAAAGTAATATCTACTCGGCACAATCAGTGCTCAATCTGTATATTTGACAAATATTATCTGTATTTTAGATATGCCTATTTTTTTTCGACTTTATTCTTATGCTTCTATTTTATATATTTTTTATTTTGAAATAACCTTTTTTTTCCTGGAACTCGTCTAAACTTTGTAATTAAAAATTAAAATAGATCTTTCTTGCAACTTTTTTTTTAAATTGTTCAACGAGGTATAGCCAAAATAATAGCAATGCACAGCAAATTGTTGGTTTGAATTTCTGATGACTGTTAATAATATCCAGATGCAAAAAACTGTTTGAAATTTTCATGACTTTTTTTATAATCAATATGACTACTTGATGCCATCTTTTATGCAGCAATTTAGTGTAACTTCTAAATACTTTATCCTAAATCACAAAAACTTATCTATTTGAAATTAAATTTCTTTTCTTGTCTAAATACTTCTACGTTTGTTCTTTATAACTTCCTTGCATTTTCTAGTTTTTTTCTCAGCAACGCTTATTATTTACACTGTAAAACTTTTTATGACATTAAAGTAAAGAGTAATCATGAACAGAACAGTCACAAAAAAAAACCCAGCAAGTTTCTTTTTTTTTATCAGAACTTTAAAAAAGTTGTTCTACAAATTGAAGAGGCGGAGAAAGCGAAGGTAAAGTAAAATAATTTAATTTCAGATTTTTAAAGCCATAAACTTACTTTTCTTTTGCGCATACAAACGAAAAAATTTTGCTGGCTTTTTTTCTTATTTCTTTCACTAATCAAAAAAAGCTTTATGTTCATAAAATTACAAATACTGAACAAAACATTAATGACTGCAGAAAAAAGCGAACGATGAAATAAAATTAATTTTTTTTACATTAATTTTTCTAATTTCTAGCTTTTTTTGTACATTCTGTTTTTCTTTTGGTTCTTACCAATCTTTTTTTGGGCCAGAAATGGAAAAATAGTACATTCTTAATCTGTTAATGCAGTAAACTTGTGTGTATATTTTCCATGCTTTTCTCTCAATTCTTTACATTTTGGTGAATTTTGTAAAAAATTACAAAAATTAAAATGAGTCAAAAAATTGTATTAATTTCTATTTTTAATACGGTTCTCTAACAGTAATAATTTGTTTTCATTTGACCATTTAGTTGTACTGTAGCTTGAAAAAAAAAAAACTCGAAGCAAAGTTTAGATAGCGTTTCTCAATTTTTCACAATTCCTTAAAGATTTTAATTGACACGATAATTGCATCCATGCGAGATGTCGTCTCTTGAAATACTGCTTCCATCAAGGCTAATCCAATGTTTGTTTCAGGCTATGAGCCTTATTTGGCTGTTGACTCTTGCGTTGTGCTATACTGCACAAACGGCACAAGCACTTAGCTGCTGCTGTCAGCCAATATGTATGGTCGCTCGTATCACCAGTAACGGGGCAGGCTGCGGACCTAAGCCAGCACCTGCACCATCATGCCCACCATGTCCTCCAGCTCAGTGTCCGGCTCCACCGCCATGCCCTGCTGCTCCTCCACCACCTCCATGTCCTCCACCACCCCCATGTAAATG